ATATATATATATTTTTTTTTTCATTTATAAAATGCGTGCTGTAAAAATCTTTGTCATCAATATATTATCAGGTAAAAATCGTACATACGGCAGCGCACCATTTTCAGATATTGTTAAACAACAAACTGGTGACGCCGCGTACAAAAAGGCGCCCTGCGTTTTATCATCATCATCATCATTATCATCATTATGATTATTATTATTATGATTATGATTTCATCATATTATCATTTATCGTATTATCGTCTATCTATCATTTATCTATTGCACGTACGGAAACAGTCGATTTATATAAATATTGCAGTCTTAAAGTCACGATGCGCCTCCGTAGACAAGTTTAGTCCTTCACGAAAGTTCTGCCGAAAGATGGCAATCACGGCGCGCTCCGCAAATTCATTTTTCCTATTTTATTATTTTTCTTCCTCCCATTTATTTATTTACTATTACTATTTTATCTTTATTTTTTAATATGCATCAACGTGGCTAGTTTATTATTTACTTGTTTTTTTTTTTCACTTCTGCTTAAAAGATAAATCCTATTTAAATCGATTATACGCTCGTACTCTCCGACATTTGTTTTTTCATCGACGAAAATGCAGTGGTGTGTAAAATTTTTTTTTTTTTCAACAGTATAAAGCTTTCGAGGTACGACTCGTATCCGCCGAATACTTTTATTTAATGAATAAACGAATGAAAAGTACATGAATTAATTCAATCCGACTTTTATTCTGTTATTCTTTCATTCGCTTGTGAAGGTTATGTTTTGGCACTGTGCGTATGCATTTAATCAACTGGCTCACGAAAACTTAAACCCTATTATATAATAATAATGTTTGTACAAATATCGATTGAACAAAAACAAAAAACTATGGCTTGCTCTGGCTCTATAGATTCAGTATCAACAGTATTATCATCATTTATCAATATGCTATTATAAAAAACTAGGATCATTTGTCGGTTTATTATCGCAGCTCGGTTTCAGTGATTCACATTATTAATATTATTATATTTACTATTTTTTTGTGTGTCTCTCGTTTATCTTCATATTTATCTTGTATTTATTAAAAAACGTCGATATTAATTTACCTTTCTTATTACTTCCCTCTCTTACTTTCCTCATTATTTTTTTTTTTCTTTCTTCATCTTCACTTTATTTACGAACTATAGTATTTGTAATTATTGCAGTAACGATAGATTTCTTTCTTTCTTTTTTTTTTTTTTCCTGTTTCCCATCCTCTACCATTCAAGGAATCGTCGCATTCCTCTTGCTCTGCAAACAGACAGACAGACGCACAAATTCAGTCATTCTCATGCTAACCTTGCAGCTATATCATTTCTTCGTTACACTACTAATATAATATTAATAATCATCGTCGCTGCACGCACTCCCAACTATACATGCATACATACATACATATGTAATAATAATTATTATAATACATATATATGCGTGTGCACAGTCGCACTCGACTCGCACTTATACGTAATACGACTCTCTCCCGCACCTTCGAAGACGATTCTACGGTGCATGCGTCGACATTGTCATCTCTGCACCATCACTAATGTCGTCTTGATTATTCCAGTCGAGAGCTAGCAAGGTATGTATCCATCAGCATCATCAGGAGATAACAGTGAGGTTAGGTGTAGGGATGAGGGAATGACGGTCGAGTTGTCGAAGTAATCCTTACTCTCGAGAGCATGTTGCACTTTCATTGACTAGTTTTGTGTGATTATAATTCATCGCCGCGAGGCAACTCGAGGAAAGGGCTTAGGGTGGGGGCGGGTGGCAACAGAAGGGGCTGAAGGTTACTGCTGCTGTTGTCGTTTGCTTCACGTAGTGGCGTGAGAGAGGGTTTCACATCATCATTATCATATGTAATCATCACCGAAATGTTGATCAGCGCTCGAGTCACGGTATGTTGAGCTGCAGTTGCGAGCCGCTGCTCAGCCGGTGACGCCGGCCGGTAGACGAGAGCAGGCCGCAAGCTGCAGTGCCTGCGAGAGCCGTGCCGGCGCGCCTCCCCCTGGCGGCTTGCAACAGCAGTTGCATCAGTAGCTATTGCTTGTCGATGCCGTCGGCGGCCCCGTTTGGTCCGCCACCGCCACTAGATGGCCTGCCGGGGCCCGATGGATTGCTGCTGTTGTTCGCGTTGCCATCGCGCATGTGTTCGCGGGCTATGTGCCGGCGTACGGTGTTGTTGCGCGTGAAGGTACGCGAGCAAAACGGACAGTGCACCCGGATGCCCTGGTGACGCTGGCGGATATGAGCTCGGAGATTCGTCTCGTAGCCGTAGAGCCTCTCGCAGTGCGGGCACTTGAGCTTCTTGCCTGTAACAAATCGGTGATGCAGGTTCGTTTTTTTTTTTTTTTTTTTTTTTTTTTTTTCAATCACGGATATTTATATTTGTGTGCATTATAAAAGAAATAATTAACATTATGATGATCGATAGAAATGCTGGATGAGTCGTTAGATGGACCGACGTGCGATGACGAAGCGATGAATCGGTTGATGATGCGCACAAGTGAAACATATAATGTAATAATTATGCGATGCCGATTTCTTGTACAACGATCGTAACCTTGGATTGAGAGATTTTTCCAACAAAGCTGTTTGGAATTTAAATCCAGGCAGAGGAGATCGCATTATCCTCCTTGGCGCAACGGGACAGGGATTTTGTTCGCGTCGGCCTATTAAAGGTACGGATCGGGAAGTAGAAAACTTGCGCGTTTGTAGCTTTATGATCGGCATCGTTCGAAACTTGTAATTATAGTCTTTTGCTTGAAAAAAAAAAAAAGAAAATCCACCCGTAAAACAGAAAAAAAAAAGATAGACGCAATACCCCGCGGAAGGCATCATCAGATACGCATACGCACCAACACACACATACATATACACGTAATCGCGGCGTTAGGTTAGGGGGGGGGGGTTGGCATTAGAGGAAAAAGGTTAAACCACACGCGCGCATACAGCGGAGGGGCCATTGGCTTCTCCTCTCCGCGCGTGTACATTGGTATATATACAATAAAAGCGGTGCACAAGGCCAAGCAGCAGAGCGCGCGCTCCTTACAAATAACAGCCGGCTAATTTATTTGCCCATCCCGCCTCTTCCCCCCCCCTCCCCCTGTGAGCCCGCAACCATTACCTCTTTGCTGCGCGCGCGATTGAGTCATCGCTCAAAGACCTTATGCCTATTTCTCTCGCTTTTCACAGGCATGTACGGGAGAAGGAACGAACGAAAGACCGGTTTTTTTTGTTTTTTTTCGTTTCTTGCCTTTTGACGTTATGCGCGTGTATAACCGCGGAAAATGACGACCTTCGCGATCGAGTATACACGGGATCGTGGTGTGTTGCAACCGTACGGAGGGAGAATGATCCGGAAAACAAGTTTGGTCCACGTTCCACTACAGCGGTCATCTTTATACATGAGACACGAGTGGGCAGCACACTAAGCTTAACATTTGGTTTACACGTGATCTACATGCCGTGAGCTAATCTTTTTTAACAAGGAGGAGGCGATTATTATCATTTTCTTTTCTTTTTTTTTTTTTTTTTTTTTTTTACGGGGTATATTGCGATTACACTACGTCAGCGCCGTCGTTAAGAGGTGCTTATGGGCAATTTAATTCCCTTGATTAATTAACTTACGATCACGNTTTTTTTTTTTTTTTTTTTTTTTTTTTTTTTTTTTTTTTTCTTGATGGATTGAAATGTAGTTTGGAGTTTTGTAGTTTTGGAAATGTAGAAAAGGAATTTGTGAGGTGTATACTGTGGTGCAATGTATAGTCACAAGATAAGTAATTGGTATAAAGGATGAGAGGGGCGAGATTGTAAGACTTTTTACTGCCAGTGTTGATACACATAGGTAACGAGTGGGAAAATGTAACTGCGCGCTCAAGAACCGTAAGCTATTCATTGACCCATAATATGCACAGAGTGTTCGAATATTTGGTACTTTTTTCGTGCACCAGTTAGGTAGTTGTACATCTACACTTTGTCACACCTGCCCAGAGCCACGTACCCTGGAGTACTACCCGCACCACTTCTAAAGGGTAAAGATTAAAAAGTGCCCACCACATCTGGTCCACGGGTTCCAATAACATTTTCGAAAAGTCATCCCATATCCTCCGAGGCCTACGTGAAAACCTATGCCCGTTGTACACACGATACACATACGAGGCACTTTTCACTGCTCGCTCATTATTACATGGTGTATTGTATAGATATACTATCGCGCATGTCGCAACTACGGAGCGATGAAAGCGAACGAAGGGGAAAAAAAAGAAATCTCGCTGCAGGAGGTGCTGTCTTTCTTGACTTTACACTGATACCCAGTGCTCCCGCTCTCTATTGTTGCACACCCTCACACGAGTACAAACAAATTGTCTATTCGAGTTGGATGTAATATTTTATATATATTTACCGCTGGAAGTGTACGCACGCGGGCATACATCAAATTTACCAACAGCCCATACACGCATACAAACTCTCCTTTTCACGTAAAAAAAAAAAAAAAGAAAGAAAAAAAGTCGTCAGCTGTCGCTAACGCGCGGGTTGCAATATGTATGCGAGTCGGTGGCGTTTCACGTGTACGCGCGTGCCCACTCACATACGGTATATATTTGTCGTCTAGGATGCTCTCTCGACTCTCTGCACCGCTTGAAATTTTTTTTTCTTCCTTCACTTTCTTTAGCTCTCTCACAACAAGAGTACTTTTGCTCACATGCGCCCAAGCTTTAGCCAACTGCGTATTTTTTTTTTTTTTTTTTTTTTTTCCTCTCTGCTCCCCATTTCGCGCGAGAACGCATACAGCGCGCCGTATTACATATATATTGTACACGCGCGATTTTTCCGCATGGGCGCCCTTACACCCTTCCACGCGATCGGGTTCTTTTGTTCGGGTGATTGACGCGTACTGCTACTTTTGGGCGGTATACACGAGTGCAAGATTTCAAGGTTGGCTGAAAACCAAAAAAATATTCAAGTACGGATCGAGAATCGCCTCGTTTCAACCATTGCGCTGTATATGCATTTAGCTTATACTTTTACTGAGCACGTATATATATACCTGCATCAAGTGTATTTTTATACATATTTACGTGTGTGGATTTAACATCAACATAATCCAGTGCATTCGCGTGATATATGCATGCGTGGAACAAAACGTGCAGTAGAACAGGTTGAGATTTGGTCAGACGCGCGTTAAATCTTATAAGCAACGCCGATCAGGATATCCTCCGACGTACTTGGACAGGAGTAGAGAGATAACTATTGTTATTTTTTATCGCGTGGAGCAATGAAAATATACATGCAATAGCGGAGTCTCGAAAAATGATCACCTGTAGAGCTCGCGCGCATATATTTGAAAGTGCCGGCCTTGGCCTTTTCTTCGAAAAAAACGAAAAAAAAGAAAAGATTTCGAGCTAGAAAGAGTATAAGATAATCCTACGGGGAGAGAGAGAGAGAGAGAGAGAGAGAGCATCGGCGAGACGAAAAATGGGTCGTGGCGTATATATAACGAAACGGGAGAGAGGCTAAGGTATATATTGCGAAACTCCGCCAGCATCCAAACGGTTCGAGTGTAATACTCGTATATACCCCTCCCTACCTCCCTCCCCCGGCCCTCCTACGCGATAGCTTTCTCTCGTCTCGCTCCTTGGATATGCCGTACATCTCCTGGGTATATATATAAGCACATGCCGTTCCTACTCCTCCTTTACTTTCTCCTTCTCGCGTACGTATATATAGGCAATCCTGACCCTTTTCCTCTCGCTTTCCATTTTCTGGCTCGATCGACTCGGCTGTATAACCTACTTATGGCAGAGACGCGGCCACGTGGTGACGCAATACCTTCGTCGCGATTTTTTCACGTATGGGGGTTTTGACGCGTCCCGAATAATTTGTGATAACAATAAACTCCCAGTATAGACACGTGTCTTTTCATTGACTTCTCTCCCTTTGAGGATCTAATGTTTGCCGAACGATTTTCCTTTCACTACGGATCTTTGATCGAAAAGGAAATGCCATATCACGGATGTACAAAAAGTAATAAAAAATAATACGCTCAGTGGGCTCCTTGAACTTGAAAACCTAGCTCCATTAAACATTAAAACACACGCGTGTGTGTATTTTACAGAGTCATTCGGTTACGTAACGACGTGGAGTCGCGAATACTTTTGAAGATTTCAAAGCCAAGGCCGGAAGGAAATCATCGCATCGCGACTACTTTGGTACGTCATTCATATATGTACGTATAACGTGAGTATAAACACACAATTTATGATCGAAAATACGTTACGAGGATGAATCGTACACAACTTTTTAATTATGTACACTTGACGAGACTTTTGCTCTTGAAATTGGAGACGGTGTGATCCCTGAATCGATCCACATTTTGTGAAAAATCATTAGATCGGCCCACACCGAGTGCTCATTTCATTTAACTGACGTTTGCATCAACGCCGAGTACATAATAAAACATATCGATCACAAGTCACAACCCTTTAATGGCCCAATAAAAAGAAAAAAAAAAAAAAAAAAAACGAATACTCGCAAAGATACCCACCCACATGGAACTCGAGATTGCAAATCTATAGGGAGGAATTTTGCCGAAAAACTTGCCCTCTGACCTCCGCACGTGCCTCCACACCGAAACAAGGGAAAAAAAAAATCCACACGCGCAAAGAAAAGCTCTCCCACCCCCTGGCGACAGCCGCCGAATCGCCATCATCAAGTGCAAGTGCCCCTCCCTCCCCCATGTGTATTATATCCTCGTAGTCTGAGCCCGCATCCCCCCTCCCCCCACCCACCACCAGATCCTACGTACAGTTATATATACGTCCTCTGTATATATCCTTACGCAAGACGTGTATATATCTACACCGGAACGGCAGTGGCGCGTGTGCGTAATTTTCTTTTTTTTTTTTTTTTTTTTTGCGAAAGCCCGCGACGACGGCAACGCCCCCGCGAGGGAGGGTTCGGGAAGGGCTGAGGAGGTAAGAAAACTACAGTTCCTCCTTGGCGGTGGCGGTGGTTATATATGTATATGTATAGCCGTGCAGGCCTTGACCCATTTTCACCCGGTGGCGCCAAATCGAGCGCGCCCGGCTTACTTCCCCGCCTCTCCACCTTCTCGCGTCTGTCCCCATGTGCACGCGCACCCACCCACACGTATACACATACACGTTTGGTGAGGCACGAGGAGAAGGAAGGAAGGAAGAGAGCCCTCGAAGTAGGCGGTGGGTGTGGGCCCGAAGGGAGTCGAGGGGAAGAGACGACCGTCAGCCGTTATTCGCAACGCGCCTCTGGTATGGAGCGGGGGGGAGCCGTA